ATGACTTTTCTTAAAGAAGGGATGTTTGTAACCCTGGCAGGATGCTGCAGATTTTTGGAATCAGCAATTTGCAAGTGAAAGGTTCTTTTTTTATCATGAAAGTTTAAAAAACATTTAGGGGTCAATTCTCCCTGGTAGGCACAGGGGTGGAGTAGGTGGGGGTGCAGCGTCACACCACCATTGGGGGCACATCAAGTGGCAGTCTGCCTCAGAGAGGCACAATGCGGCCCAGATTTCCCAGGGTGTAGGACACAATTTGTGACACCCCTTTAAAGGGTTCAGGATATCCCTGCTGCATGGCCTGTCTGCTCTGCTGTCCAGCTTGTGTGTGGAGAACGTGGAGCCATGACTTCGCCTATTTCCATCACTGCTGGTGAGATAGTCTTGTGAGGAGCACCTTGGGACTAGCCAGAGTGCAGAGGCTGTGATTAGGATCCCTTACATGGACCAGGCAAGTGAAGAGAGGGTGCCTTGCTTCTTCTTTGTCCCATAAGATAGGACAACTCACGCTAAACAGTACATCAGGCTTCCCTGCTCTGAGCTTCACTGATGGATGGGAGGAGAAGAGTGGGTTTGTTTCTTCTGGCTGTGTTTCAAGGCTGCCCATTTAAGTATCCCATACATAAATCTTTATACTCAGACCATGATTGATAAATTATGTCTTGTTATTTTATCCATGTTTGATGCATCAAACCTTTGAAAGAAACTGAAGGAATCATATCATTGCATGGACTTTGAAAGAAACTGAAGGAATCATATCATTGCATGGACTATAAGAATTTGCTAATTCTTTTATATGATTTTGGAAAGTGAGGTTTAGCAAGAAGTTTGGGAGGTTTTATTCTGAATTAAAGATGACAAAGAACTCATGATACAGGTATAAAATACAACAAACAGGGAACCTTACTAAAACAGGAGGAAGCAGAAAAGATCATTGGAGCCTTGAGAAAGAACAAATATAATGGCAACCTCTAGAAAACTAACAGATGAAATCAAAACTACTGAATAAAAAAATAATGAAAGGCAAGATTCTTAACATACTAAAACAACCTGCATTCATTCATTGTCTTTCCTTTTGCTACTCTTCTCATACACTTAGTCTGATCCTGTTCCCACTAAAATCAAAGACAAAACTCCACCTGACCTCAATGGTGCGGGATCTCACCCTGACTCTGTTTCAGTAAGATATTTACATTCCATTAAAAGAAAACACTTCTTTCATTCTAGCTAAACTTTATTCTGACCTCCAATCAGAACTGTGCAGACTTAAAATTTGTTCTTTGAAGTGTTGTTGTAGCTGTGTTGGTTCCAGGATATTGGAGAGACAAGGTGGGAGAGGTAATATCTCTTTTTGGACCAACTTCTGTTGGTAAAAGAGACAAGCTTTCAGGCTACACAGAGACCTGAAGAAGCGCTATCTGTAGCTCGAAAGCTTGTCTCTATCACCATCAGAAGTTTGTCCAGTAAAAGATATTATCTCACCCCCTTGACTCTCAGACTTAAAAATGTCCTTGCAGAGAAGGAGCTTGAAAAATTTCCCACACAAGCTGGGATTTACAAGCTCCATGCAAAATGGGATTCCCCTCCCAACACTGATATAATTGAAAATGACATTAAACAGCTCTGGGGAGCTGACATTAATAAATAAAAAATGGGAAGCTGTGTTTCTGAAGTACTTAAATATAGGCTGCCTGCATAAAATAAAGATGTGCGATGGGGCGATGGATACCACCACGCATGTCAAGGTTCCTTCCCCACTCTGAACTCTAGGGTACAGATGTGGGGGACCTGCATGAGAACCTCTAAACTGAATTACCAGCTTAGATTTGCTTTTGCTGCCACCACTCCCAAGTGCTAACTCCCTTCCCTGGGTAGCCTTGAGAGACTTCTTCACCAATTGCCTGGTGAACACCGATCCAAACCCCTTGGATCTTAAAACAAGGAGAAAATAACCATTCCCCCTCCATTCCCCCCACCAATTCCTGGTGAGTCCAGATCCAACCCCCTTGGATCTTAAAACAAGGAAAAATCAATCAGGTTCTTAAAAAGAAGGCTTTTAATTAAAGAAAGAAAGGTAAAAATCATCTCTGTAAAATCAGGATGGAAAATAATTTTACAGGGTAATTAGATTCAAAGAGCCCAGAGGAACCCCTTCTAGCCTTAAGTTCAAAGCTACAGGAAACAGAGATAAACACTCTAGCAAAAGGAACATTTACAAGTTGAGAAAACAAAGATAAACCTAACACACCTTGCCTGGCTGTTACTTACAAGTTTGAAATATGAGACACTTGTTCAGAAGATTTGGAGAGTCTGGATTGATGTCTGGTCCCTCTTAGTCCCAAGAACGAACAACCCCCAAAACAAAGAGCACAAACAAAAGCCTTCCCCCCACCAAGATTTGAAAGTATCTTGTCCCCTTATTGGTCCTTTGGGTCAGGTGTCAGCCAGGTTATCTGAGCTTCTTAACCCTTTACAGGTAAAAGGATTTTGGAGTCTCTGGCCAGGAGGGATTATAGTATTGTACACAGCAGGGCTGTTACCCTTCCCTTGATAGTTATGACAATGCATCTGGCAAGTAGGGGGTTAAAAACACATTTTGTACAATCAAATGCCTCCGCAAACGTGGCTGGAATTGAAGAAGCAGGTGGTCACTTGATAACATCGCTACAAGAATCTGGCAGCAAGGTCTAATTAGTGTGCAGGAGCTCCAGAGGACTGCTTATGAGCTGAAAAGGCAGCAAGCAGGCAGTGCACTGGGGGAGTATAAACAAGAGCCAGGAAGGCACTGAGGGAATCCATAGCACATTACATTTGGCTGCTGGAAGCCTTTTTCCTTGTGTGGTTGCTTAGTGACTGTGTGTCTCTCTCTACCATGCCTGCACTGAAAATCCATTTGTGTAGATTCCTTTTTCTTGTTTTTGCCTCTCCAGGTGGCCCGTAACAGTTACTTTAAACTACTGTACTGTGTGTGGGTGTCTATAGAGAGCTTTATGTAGACAAATCCCAAACCCAGCCCCCAGGAACTCCTCTTTCCAATACCTGTCTCTCAGTTGTCAAAGAGAAATAGCTCAGCAGCAGGATCAAAAAGCATTACATGTATTTAAAAATTCCTAAGAATGGACCCAGGTAATCATTTGGTGAGCACATTCACCGCTTCAGAGCTATCCTCGAAAGCAGAGCTGGAGGAGACTCTGAAAACATGAACCCTATTTTTGTTTATATTTCTGTGCCATGAATATAAAAGCATCCAGCTGTCAAAGCCTGTGAGTTGGGGTGGGGTGTTTTGTCAGAAGTTTGAAAGCTATTCGCTTCAGGAAAATTGTAACTTGATCACAGCGACCTGAGTTGAAATATACCAGAGAAACACCTAGAAAAATGTAGCTCTTTACCAAGGAATCCCTTGGAACAAACTGGATATTAACAAAGCTGAGGAATGAAGGGAGCAGACTAACTCACCTCATTTCTGCCCTGGATGTGTTTTATTCCTACTTGTTTTTAGTAATATTACAGTAGCGCCGATAGAACCTATTAAAAATAAGGATCCCATTATGCTGGGAGCTGTATGAACAAACAAGTAGACAAGGTCTCTGCTTCAAAGAGCTTACAATCTAATTCAGTGCCTTTAAAACATTAAAAATATGTAGCTACAGCATAATCATCTGTACATTCCTTTTGCCTACTTGAGCAACAGAGAGTTGTTTTTCAGAGAATCTCACTTTTGGGTAAGGCTATGTCTACACTTCAGCACTGATGCAGCTATGCCGCTGTAGTGCTTCTGGTGAAGATGCTCTAAGCCAATGGGAGAGAGCTCTCCCGTTGGCTTAATGAATCCTATCTCTGTGAGAGGAGGGAGCTTTGTTGGCAGGAGGGAGAAGCTCTCCCACCGACAAAGCGCTGTCCACACCTGCACTTAGGTCGGTGTTTTTCAAACCGTGGGTCGCGACCCATTACTGGGTCGTGGCATGTAGGGTGCTGGGTCGCCTGGCTCTGGTCAGCAGTGCCGACCAGGATGTTAAAAGTCCCATGGCGGTGCTGCCCAGCTAAGGCAGGCTAGTGCCTACCTTTTCCGACTTCGCGCTGAGCCCCGGAATGGCCAGCAGCGGGTCCGGCTTCTAGGCAGGGGGGCCACAGGGTTCTGCATGCTGCCCCCACCCTGAGCACCAGCTCCGTACTCGCACTGGCCGGAAACTGGCCAATGGGCACTGGGGGCGGGGGAGGGCAGTGCCTGCGGGTGAGAGTTGCGCAAAGCCGCTTGTGCACTTCTGCCTAGGAGCTGGACATGCTGCTGGCCGCTTCTGGGGCACAGCGCGGTTCGCGGTGCCAGGACAGGCGGGAAGCCTGTCTCTGCACCCCGGCTGTGCCGCTGACCGGGAGCCGTTGGAGGTAAGTTCACACCCCAACCCTGACCCCCCAATTCCCTGCCCCAGCCTTGAGACCCCCCTCAAACCTTCCTGCACCCCAAACCCTTCATCCCTGGCCCCACCCCAGAACCTGCACCCCCAGCCCAGAGCTCCCTCACACACCCTGAACCCCTCATTCCCAGCCCCACCCCACAGCCCTCACCCCTGTACCCCAACCCTCTGCCCCAGCCCTGAGCCCCTCCCACACCCTGGGTCCCCAGAAAAAAGTTTGAAAACCACTGGCTTAGGGGTGTGGATTATTCACACCCCTGAGCCATGTAAATTGTACCAAAGTAATTTGTAGTGCAGACATAGCCTAAGTCCCATTCATCCCTCCCCAAATCCCGCTTTCTTCCAGAAAATCCCTGCAGCCAAAATAAACTGCATGTTAAATAGCAAGCATTTTGCTAACACGCTTTTCTGTTTCATAGGATTAAGCTATTATCAGTGTAAACTGGCTCCCCACGATGCAACCTCTATCGATACCCTGAGGAAATCACTACAAATGACAGGAAGCTAAAGATAGTTAGTTGAGACAAACCCCACAAAGAATAAAGTTCTGCTAAATTGCTCAGACTGTGGAGGCCCATGCAAATAGACCGAAGGTCAAAGTTACACCAGTGTAAATCCAGAGCAATTCCATTGAAGCAAACGGTTTAACATTAGTGTAACTGAGATCAGAATCCGGTCCATAATCTCCAAACTCCAACAGAAAAAAAACACCAAGCTCTTTAGCTTTTGGATTTAGCTACTCCAGTATCCTGTCGGGGCCAGTGAGTTAAAAGTTTTCCTTGTTAAAAATGAAGTGTACTCCTCGTGGATCAGCAGCCGAGTTGTTGATACACTGCTTATTGAGTGTTTCAGCCAGGGCTTCCGGTCCACAGAGGAAAACGCCTACTCTGGAGCTGTTAAGAAAGAACATCACAGTGTGGTAAGTAATCAAGCAGGTATTCAATCCACAACATGAGTAGGGTGGGTGAGCAAATGGATCATTTGATCTGCAGCTGACAGACATTAAAGGCACTAAATTAGAACCTTGTATTACAATATCAGCTACTTAACATTAATACATTTAACATCTCTTTAAATCTTCACAGTGCTCTTGAAACAGGAACTAATTTATCCTCCTAAAACCCGTGAGGTAGACAGGCAAGATTTATAACTGCTTTTAAAACAAATGACAGGCCTAATCCTGGTCCTCCAGAAGTCAATGCCAACATTTCCATTGATTTCAATGGAGTCAGAATTTGGTCCAGTGAAATTGACACAGAGAGGTTAAGGCCCAGATTCTCATACGCAGCCTCTAATTTTGCTGCTTCCAATTTTGGGTTCCCAGATGCAGCCCATCCATTTTAAGGCCTGGTTTTCATCAGTATTAATCATTGACTTCAATTGGAGTTACAGATTTTTCTAAAATGAGGCCTTCCGTGCATGAAGTTTAGCACCCAAAATTAGTGGACATTTTTGAAAATGTAGGTCTAAAGTGGTTTGGCGAAGGCCATCCAACATTTCAGAGGCAGAGCCGATATTAGAATTTGGGAGTTCCTGGCTCTGAAGTTCACATTCAGTCTGTTGGATCACTTTGCCTTTCAGATATTACCAACATAAGGAGTAAGACAATTTTTTTATGGCAGCTAGTTTGAGGGAGTCCACAGAAACTATAGATCTGAAATCTGATTTACCTTGGGTGCTGACTTGCAATGGTTTTGAACTCATTTTCCCAGTTGGGTCTGCCATACAAGGTTTTCTGTTTCAGACCCGTAATCACATCTTTCTCTTCATCATGGTGTACTGTAAAATGAGTGGCCTATGGGAAAGGAGACAGACTTTAGGGAACAGCGTAAAGAGAAGTTTAGAGATGGTTGCTTTAGCACCAGTTTAGAAAGTTAACCCCATTAGCATGCAGTGGAATTATCTGCAGGCCAGAAGAGTTCCTTTGGGATGTGGAATTTATGTTTGATCTCAGAGATTGAAAATACTAATCCTTCAAGCTAGTAATTAGCTTTCTGTTGTAGTGAACAGCCTGATTCAGGTTCTCTGATGATACTGTAATGACAAGATTCTCCCCTCAGTTATACTGGTGTGGTCCCACTGAGGTTGCACTGGTATGTCTGAGGGGAATGTGTGTCCCTGTGAAGTCTTTTCTCTTCTCCCTATCTGTGTAACTTCCATTTACATCAACAGAGTTAAGTGCATGATTCTAAGTTCACAGAAGTCAATGGAAAGACTCATGTTTACTTCAGTGGGATTTGGATTAGGCCCTAACAGAGTTACTAGTTATATTTGGGGGAAGAATTAGAGAAGTGTCTTATTCAGAACCAAGAGGTATACAACCTTATTTCTTCTCTTCCCCAGTCTAAAAGTGTGACAACTTCCCGCCCCTTCCACTCACAGAATTTTGTGTGGCTGAGTCCCATTGCTGTGCATTAGCTGCTGCAGGGGAGGCCCAGCTGGAGTTACTGCTCAGTTGCAGAGAGACAAGCTCTCTTAAGGGAGACCACACGTCCCAAGGAGGAGGGCTAAACAACCCCCTAGCCCAAGGAGAGAGGCTTTCTTTCAAGTGTATTTGTATTGAATAAATTAGAACCCGAGGAGGGGAATTTTATCTCACATTCTTTTAGACTGGGTGGAGTTCTTAAGCAACCCTGAGAGAAGAGAACCTGAGACAGGGAGAGCCTGCAGCACCACACTAGGTCAAGAGGGGGTGCCGGAAGGCAGGCAGGGCCTACGACAGGGCAATGTTGGGTTTTAAGCACTATTACTAAGGCTAAGACTTTAGTCATGAGTATTTTTAGTAAAAGTCATGGACAGGTCACGGGCAGTAAACAAAAATTCACTCATGACGTGTCCATGACTTGTACCATATATCCCTGTCTAAATCTTGGGTGCTCTGGAGGGGGAGTCTCCGGTGGCACCATGGGTGATTTGGAGGAAGGGCTCCGGGGGCACATTGGGTGCTTGGGGGCAGGGGGCTCTGTGGGTGCTCTGGGGCAGAGGTCAGCCTAGGACCACCACTGGTACTCCAGGGAGAGGCAGGGGGAGGGAGCAGAGGGCACGGCCCGTGGTCCAGAGGTCAGTCGCATCAGCCACTGCAGAAGTCACAGAGGTCCTGGAAAGTCACAGAATCTGTGACTTCCATGACAGACTCGCAGCTTTAACTATTACCAATAGAAATTCTATTTTTAGCATATGGAAACTTCTCAGTTGGCCATAGGTTTGTGCAAGTTGGTCTTTCTGACAATACCCTTCTAAAAATAAAATCCCTGACAGCCATACAAGGGCCAGGAGAATGGTACAGCTCCTTTTTGAATGCTTGTATCTTCACAAAAACCAACCACCCCAAATGATGTTAAAATAATAAATAAAATCCATGACCCTTAAGAGACTGACATTTTCCCCAGAGTGGTTACCTGAGTTTCATCCCAGCCTGTTAGGTAGATGTTGTAACTGAGAAACTCTGCATTGTCCCTCTCCTGCATTTGATTCTCCAGGGACTGCAAGAGGTCAGCAAACCATTCAAAGGCATGAGTGTCTCTGCAGAGCCAGTAAAAATAGATCTGAAAGAAACAGAATTAAACTCTTATCTTCTGTATGCACTTATGCATTTCCACATCCATCATGTTTGCTGATCGAAATGGGGATTTTTAGAGGCACGGTTTACTGGGGCTTTAGAAATTCCCCTTGTTGATGGGAAGTTCATCTGGCATCATAACTGTTTAGAGGCCGGAAGGGCTGTGGGGAGGAGATAACGATTATGTGAGAAGGGAAACAGTTCCCCCTTTTCCCTCCACCAGTGTCCTATTTACTGTATCATGCTGCCTCTCCATCCCTGCTCCCTCAGAGTAGTGATTTGTTAAGCCATTCAAAAGTGACTTGGAGGAAAACCTGTCTCCATCTCTGCAGCCAATGAGGGCCCAGTAGGCAGCAGAACTGGTCCAGTTCCTCTACTCTGGGGGGGGGGGGGCAGAGGGGATGTGACCTCGGGTGCACAGAGGAACTGTGGAGGCTCCCTCTGCCCCAGCACACAGGGCAATTTCAAGAGCGAAGGCATGGCGGTGGACCAGTGACTACTTAGTTCCATTGACCTATAATCCCACCCTGCCCTGGGGGAGGAGTGCAGCAGATGCCAAGGCTATTGCAACCCAAAGCTGGCAACAATATAACAGAGGTGGTGAAGTGGCTTTATTGCTGCCTTCCTCAATTCAATGGAAAGCTACTGGGTGTAGCCCATCTTCCCTGCACTGAGCTGAGTCCAGAATTTGGCCCATAGGCTTGTGACTGCTTCTTCTGTCATCATCTTGAGCTGCGAACAGCGAAGAAGCAAACAGAGGAAGTTCACCTAGGGGGAGTTCCCACAGAGTTTTTTGCCTTTCAGGCTTCTGGGAGCAATAAATACAACATCTGAAGAGGCTCTTAGAAGGAAGACAATATGGATAGTGAGCGAGCAGCTGTTGTGACCTGCACAGGATGTGCCATGTTTGTCTTTCTCCCAGATGATAGAAGTGACTTTGTCTGTACGAAGTGCAAGCTGGTCTCTATATTGGAAAAGAAGGTTAAAGGACTAGCGACCCAAGTATCAACCCTGCATTGCATCAGAGAAAATGAAGACTTTCTGGATAGAAGTCAGCATTTGGTACTGCAGGCACAGCATGCTGAAGAATCAGAGAGGGCCATACAGAATAGGGAAGATAATTGGCAGCATGTGACCTCCAGAAGAAGCAAGAGGAGAACCCATGTACCCCCAATGCAGATAGAGGTAAGAAACCATTTTCAGGCTCTCTGCACAGGTACTATGGTGGAGAATGGTTTGGAAGAGTCATCTGAGGGAAGGGATCAGAAGGAGACCCCATCGACCAGAAGGCATGGGATGCATTGTCCTATGGATGGAGGTTCCATGACCACCATTCCCAAGAGGAGGAGACAGGTGGTGGTGGTCGGGGACTCCCTCCTCAGGGGGACGGAGTCATCCATCTGCCATCCAGACCGGGAAACTCGAAAAATGTGCTGCTTGCCTGGAGCTAGAATTCGGGATGTGATGACGTGTCTGCCGAGACTGATCAAGCCCTTGGACCGCTACCCCTTCCTACTTCTCCACGTGGGCACCAATGATACTGCCAGGAATGACCTTGAGTGGGTCACTGCAGACTATGTGACTCTGGGAAGAAGGATAAAGGAGTTTGAGGCACAAGTCATGTTCTCGTCCATCCTCCCTGTTGAAGGAAAAGGCCCAAGTAGAGACCATCAAATTTTGGAAGTAAATGTGTGGTTACGCAGGCGGTGTCAGAGAGAGGGCTTTGGATTCTTTGACCATGGGCAGGGCCGGCTCCAGGCACCAGCTTCTCAAGCAGGTGCTTGGGGTGGCCGTTCTGGACAGGGGCGGCAGTTCCAGGTATTCGGCGGACGGTCCCTCACTCCGCTTGGGAGCGAAGGACCTCCCGCCAAATTGCCGCCACAGATCGCGATCGCGGCTTTTTTTAGATCGCGATCGCAGCTTTTTTTTGTTTGTTTGTTTGTTTGTTTGTTTGTTTTGGCTGCTTGGGGCGGCCAAAACCCTGGAGCCGGCCCTGACCATGGGCTATTGTTCCGGGAAGAAGGATTGCTAGGAAGAGATGGGATCCACCTATCGAAGAGAGGGAAGAATATCTTCACAGGCAGGCTTGCTAACCTAGTGAGGAGGGACCTAAGCCCAGAGGTAAGTGGGGGAAGTGGGATATCAGGAGGAATCACAAGGAGGAGGGTGCAACAGGGGAGGCCTCCTGATTGATACTGAGAAAGTAGGGCAATCGGCTAGTTATCTTAGGTGCCTGTATACGAACGTAAGAAGCCTGGGAAACAAGCAGGAAGAATTGGAAGTCCTGGCACAGTGAAGGAACTATGATGTGATTGGAATAACAGAGACTTGGTGGGGTAACTTACATGACTGGAGCATTGGTGGATAGAAAGTTGGCTAGATCATCAGGCCCAACAGGTAGTGATCAATGGCTCAATGTCTAGATGGCAGCTGGTATGTGCCCCAGGGATCGGTCCTGGGGCCGGTTTTGTTCAACATCTTCATTAATGATCTGGATGATGGGATGGATTGCACCCTCAGCAAGTTCGCAGATAACACTAAACGGGGGGGAGTGGTAGGTATGCTGGAGGGTAGGGATAGGGTCCAGAGTAACCTAGACAAATTGGAGGATTGGGCCAAAAGAAATCTGGTGAGGTTCAACAAGGACAAGTGCAGAGTCCTGCACTTAGGATGGAAGAATCCAATGCACTGCTATGAGGAGCGACTGGCTAAGCGACAGTTCTGCAGAAAAGGACCTGGGGATTACAGTGGACGAGAAGCTGGATTATGAGTCAACAGCGTGCCCTTGTTGCCAAGAAGGCTAACGGTTTATTGGGCTGCATTAGTAGGAGCATTGCCAGCAGATCGAGGGAAGTGATTATTCCCCTCTATTCGGCACTGGTGAGGCCACATCTGGAGTACTGCATCCAGTTTTGGGCCCCCCACTACTGAAAGGATGTGGACAAATTGAAGAGAGTCCAGTGGAGGGCAACGAAAATGATTAGGGGGCTGGGGCACATGACTTACAAGGAGAGGCTGAGGGAACTGGGCTTATTTAGTCTGCAGAAGAGAAGAGTGAGGGGGGGTTTGATAGCAGCCTTCAACTACCTGAAGGGGGGTTCGAAAGAGGATGGAGCTAGGCTGTTCTCAGTGGTGGCAGATGACAGAACAAGGAGTAATGGTCTCAAGTTGCAGTGGGGGAGGTCTAGGCTGGATATTAGGAAAAACTATTTCACTAGGAGGGTGGTGAAGCATTGGAATGGGTTACCTAGGGAGGTGGTGGAATCTCCATCCTTAGAAGTTTTTAAGGCCTGGCTTGACAAAGCCCTGTCTGGGATGATTTAGTTGGAGTTGGTCCTGCTTTGAGCAGGGGGTTGGATTAGATGACCTCCTGAGGTCTCTTCCAACCCTAATCTTCTATGATCTTTTCCTTTTCCTGATGATACTTGTCTTGTTAAATCTGTGGACTCTTCTCCCCCAGCAGGCAGGCACATCTTTGGAGCAAGGCAGTCTGTTCATAAGGTTTGCTGGGCCTGTTTTGTTGGGTCTCCCCCTGTCCCCATTCATTGGGAAGGTTTTGTACACCCAGGGGACATACCTTTTTGAGTCTTAGATTGGTTGCATCATTGCAGTATTTGTACCAGACAGACTTGAGTACAGATGCAAATGGGGTGACCCCTATTCCAGCTCCAACCAGCATCACAGTTTCATAACTGAATACATCTTCACTAGCTGTGCCAAAGGGGCCATCCACAAGTATCCTAAAAGAAAGATTACAATTAATAATATAAAAATATCATCTATATATCTATCACCAAATACACGAAGTGTGGCCTCAAGTCTTCCCTACGTCCAAGCACCACTTGGTAAAGGATAGGGTGGGGCACTGTAAAACTAGTTACAGCTCCCTGATTCTGTGACACCCAGCCCCAATCTGACATAGCGCAGTCTAGGGGCTGCTCTAATTTACACCAGTGAAGGGTTGGTATAATGGAGTTCTCCCCAATTAATCCCCTTTGCTGATGGTGGGAAAGATCAGTGGCACAGAAGCTGTTTCCACTGGTTTTATGTCAGTTGGGAGTTTTCCTACACTAGTGGAATTCTCCACTGGTCACTTATAGCCAGAACCGGAGTCTGAGAATCTGGCCCATAAACTTAAGGTTAAGGTTGCTCAAGTGCGTTTTCCATTGACAGAATGACTCCACAATCTAGGCAATCACCAGATTCACCTCCTCAAAAACACTTGTCCCAGTTCAGCAGAATGTGCATTTTAAGAAAACTGATTTTTATGAGCAGGCATGGAATGAAAATTTAGAGGGTAGCCATCAGCCAGGATGGAGGGAGTCAAGGAATGTGTGAGGCATGCCTCCAAAGAGGGTAGGTCTGATTTTAGGCCTAGCAGACTTGATATAACATTGTCCCTTTTCAGAGATTATCATGGAGATTGCACATACTTTGGCAATTTCCATGCTTCTTGAAATTCTTGTTTGTCACATCCACAGGCATCGGACAAGCCCTCTGTCCAGTCTCCTACAATACGGATGTGAATGCTGAAGTAATCCTCTTCAGGGGCAGAAGTCAGTGTGAAAGGGTGCCACTCCAGATGGGACACTGTGGGACATTGGACAAAAATGTACTGGCCAACTTCCATCTTGAAGCCCTTTTTCATCATCTGGAGCTCAAACGTTTTGAAGGGATGATTGACCACCTAAGGGCACAAAATACAAAAGACTGCCAACAGCTGCACGGTTAGCTCCATCCACTATCATCACATCCATCACCACCTGACATAGTTCACTGTGAGAGCAAATTAAACTGGTCAAACTGTCTTTCAAAGAGCACAGGGCAGTCTGAGGAATAGAATCTGACAGCCAGACAGGAGACTGTAGAACTGTCTAAATTGATAGAAACATTTTCATACCATTCTTGTGGCTATTATTTATCATTTAATACAAATTGTTATAGGGCAGACAGATACATCTAGTACATTGCCAGGGTTGTGTGTGTGTGTGACTAATTCTAGGTGCAGTGTGTCAGTGCCACAGAATGGATCACATGTTCATGAAGTTGAGGAGTGGAGGTTAGCACACAAGCAGGGCATTGGATTGACAGCACTGGAAAGTGAAGCCTTCTGTGTATATCCACGTGGGAGTTATGGCATGGGCATTCACCTTGCCCCTGTGGTTTTTTTAAGCCTAGCTGGAAATGACCATCTCGAGGCGCAAGACAGTAATTCGGTCTCTATGACTTTTTAACATTGACCTCTCTGCTGAGCCTGCCAGCAATTTTCAGGAGAGGTTTGGAGAAGGAGATCTAGTCTATTGGCTAACTTCAGAACTGGCTAGCTTTGTAATTATTTGTATTACTGTAACATCTAGAGGCCCAAATGAGAGAGGGCCTCATTGTGCTTGGCACTGTACAGACACATAGCAAAAGACATTTCCTGCCCAGGAGAGCCCACAGGATAAGCGGACAAGACAGATAAAGGGTTGGAGAAAGGAAGTATTATTCCCATTTTTCAGGTGGGCAGCTGAGGCACACAGAGATTCAGAGTAACATTTCTAAAAGCACTTAAATAAATAGAAGTGCAGATGTACTGCTGAAGGGACCCATTTTGGTTAACAGCATCCAGAACACTTTACAAGGGTACTTTCTCTAATAACGCATCCTGGTGTGAGGAAGTCCATGCCTTTTCCTGCAGGCACTCACCATACTGTATTCTCGACTACTGACAACAAGTAATGGGAAGACTGAGGAACAATTTGCCCAAGATAAACACATAACATTGCTACACACCTTTGTGATTACAACCTTCTGCTGGGATCGCCAAAATCGCACCAACCTCTCAAAGAAGTACAAAATCATGGGAACCACTACCCATTTCCATGTCTGTAAGCAGAACAAAGGTAAGAAGAAAATGAGAAGGGGAAGCAAGATATATGCTGATAAGTTACTTTACATAAAATATTGGAGGCTTTATACACACAGAAATTCATTTCAGTGAATTGATGCTCTTCATCACTCAGTCTGGGAAACTTGATACATCACATCAAACCTTCAAAACAACTTCCTCCTTTGAGAGTGGATTTTCCCTCTAGCAGGTGTTGCAGATGGATTTACAATCGCTACAGTACAGCTGGCTAGTTAGAGAACAGGATTCTCCTATGTGTGCTCCTTCCCCTTTGGCTAAAGTTCAGAGTGACTTTGAGCACAATATGGATTAATAGGTATATATTTTTTTCTTTCAAAGTCGAGTCAGGGTGCGGGATAGAGATTCTCAAATCCCAATGTGAGGATCAGAAGACTAGATGAACAAGAGGCCTACATTTGGTGGATAGGATTTTCTGAAGTGAAGAGTTTAGAGTCATCGGGTTTACACTCTCTGGTAGGGTGACCAGATAGCAAGTGTGAAAAATCAGGATGGGGATGGTGGAGTAATAGGAGTCTATATAAGAAAAAGCCCCAACGATCGGGACTGTCCCTATAAAATCAGGACATCTGGTCACCCTACTCTCTGGAAACTTCTGAGGTTTGTTTGAATTGGTCAATTCTAGTTTCAAAGCAGAGGGCTTGGATTTTTCAGGCTTCATATGAAGGAATAAGTATAAATCTGCCTCAGAACTCAATCACTTTCTTAGTTCAGCATTTATTTTCTCTTTCCTTTTGTCTCTTCATGCACATACAGTATGTAAGACTAACAGTACATTATACATTAAAAAGGTTAGTAAAAATCATAAGAATAAATTAATCCCTGGTATAACCACGCTGATCGAAATGGAGCTACACACGCAATCAGTTTGGCACATTTAAATTCTGTGGGTTTATAAACTGGTGGGTATGTGACCTCTGATGGGATCTGGGTGATGAGTTCATTTCAAAAATATTTTCAAAGAAATGGGACGAGTAGCAAGCCCTGGAATATTATGACATTTTTAAAAAATCCATTATGATCTAACAAGTTTGAAAAGCAATCAAGAACCAGCTGAGTTTAGACTTGCCCCTCATGAACATAATGGAGCAAATTTACACACATGCAACTCTATAGCTTTTACTTGGAAAATGAGTCTGTTTTTGTCAGAAAAGTACTTTTAACAGTGACCCAAAACACTGGGAAATAAGAGTCACTCAGCACATTAGAACTATAACGCTCACCCTCTCCTGGTGATTATACTATCAGTTGATGATACTGAACAGTGCCTGGCAATTCTCTTCACATCTTGATATAAATCTGTGCTAGTCTTACTTCACCTTCGCAAGACGGTGGTTCCTACTGATAGATTTGGATAGAACCTGAGATCTAGTCAAAGAATGCCGCTGCACGGTTGGCGATCATGTGGGTGCCAGAAGTTTTGGTAGCACAATAAGATTGCCAGTGACAGACATGAACTGAGTATCCAGACAGACTACTTTAAGGATCTAGCTAGTGATCAGTCCAGATGATCCTGGGTCTCTCTGGGGTTTGCCATAGGCGCCGACTCCATGGGTGCTCCAGGGTTGGAGCACCGATGGGGAAAAATTGGTGCTCTGCACCCACCGGCAGCTCCCCGCCCCACCAGCTCACCTCCGCCACCTCTCCGCCTACTCTCCTGAGCGTGCCGTATCCCCGCTTAGCCCCCTAGCTCCCAGTGCTTCCCGCCATGAAACAGCTGTTTCACGGTGGCAAGCGCTGGGAGGGAGGGGGGGAAGGGGAACACAGTGCACTCAGGGAAGAGGGGGGGCCGGGGCAGGGATTTGGGGAAGGAGTCCAATAGGGGCAGGGAGGGGGTGGAGTTGGGGCAGGGACTTTGGGGAAAGGGTTGGAATGGGGGCGGGGAAGGGGCAGGGTTGGAGTTGGGGCGGGGGGCGCAAGCACCCACTGGTGCCGGGAAAAGTTGGCGCCTATGGGGTTTGCCATCATGATGAGCTCTAAGTCGAAAACGCCCTTAAAATAAACATATTATCCTCAACGTTCCTTAAGCCATTGTTTTACATTAATGCACGGTACCTACCTTAACGATACAAAATATTCCCTCTCAATATTATTTCTTATTTGTATTTCAGTAGCACCTAGAGACTTCAGTCATAGGCCAGGAACCCCATTGTGCAACACATTGTACAAACACATAACAAAAAGACTATACCTGCCCTGAGGAGTTTGCAATGTTCCTGAGCATGCTAACATATAATTTTGAATAAACCCTGTAAGCTTATGATTATACTCTAGTGAATGGTTCTCATATTTTTTTGGTATGTCAATCCTGTTCGATATTTTTCCGTTTCCTTTTGCCCATCCTGTTAAATATGAACATTTTAGTTTAGAGATGGTCAGGACGAATTCAGGAAACTTCAATTGTCTCTGAAGAAGAGGTATTTGGAGATCCACAGATGGGACCAATAGCGGAACTACTCCAGATGGTAGTTCAACCAGCGTGGAGGAGGCTGGGTTGGTGCTGTCATCTTGGATGTGGTCACTCAGTGCTGACTGGCCAGTGTTCTTACATCAGATGTTTTCCCCAGAAGTTCTTCTTTCCCTGGGTAGCCCACCCAACAATGATATACAGCTTGGTGATCTCCAATATCTGGGCCTCCAAGTATCAGCTCAAAAGCAAGACATTTAGGTGATACCCTCCATATGCAGTCTTCACACAACCTTCTTTGGTATGTCTTTGATTACAATCTGCCATTTCAAAATGTTAAAAAACAAGTGATTTCCCACTGAAGCTCATGGTTTACTGCATATCTAGATTCAGATAAAATCTTTCTATAGTTATCTAAACATGTTTAACACAAAACGTGAAAGCTTTTGAAGACTGTCATTACTGTATTTATACTTAAGAAAATAGAACATACCATAGGAGGATTTCCAGCAAACTGGGGGATAGGACATGAAGGTATTTTTCCCCACTGAGTGAAATTCTTTCCACATTTTATTGGATTATGCACTTCCAAACTCTCAGCTGTCTGTCCACGTACAATACGGCTTGAAAATAACACAATGTTAATGTGAATTAAATTATATCTAGTACTTACAGTTATTATATTCAACAATTTATTTCTGCACTGTTAATATCCTTTTTTCTGGTAAGATTCTACTACACTGCTCAATCTGAAGATTTGCTACTAAAATAAGGAGAAAGGGAGGCAAATCTGTATTGATTTCCTAGGGGAACCTCCCCACATAAAACATCAAGTGAAGAACTGAGAAATACTACCATTACAAGTTGTAATAACGTGGTTACAAAGGGAATATTTTATTTGTTTGAAAGAAAGCCTGATTTATTTCTGCCTGTTCTATTTCTATCCCCTAGAAATAAAAGAGGTGGAAATATCAGGATCCTCAATTTATCAGTGGCCATAACTAGAATTACTGCAAACAAACTTCAGCTGTACAAGCTATGTTTGGACTCTCCTGTCTCTTGGAAGCTGTGGACTAGATCTTCAGGTAGTCAGTCTCTCACATCCTAGCTCGTGCAAAAACGTCAATGGCACTATGACAACTGACACCAGTCGAGGATCTCCCCCTGATTTCTAGCATCAAATCTGGTTATTGCTTTTCCATACACAGATGACATGCAGCTATACGTCTCCTTAGAGACAATGAGTTGTATATTTTCCATCACTCAAACTATACTGAGTCTGTCAGTGCCTGGTTACTTGTGACATCTACCCTTCACACATGAAAGACTAAGACTTCCTTCTAGGTGAAAAGTCTTCTGTCCAATATTTCTGATTACCTTATCATTCTCCTTATACTCAAAAACTCCAACTTTGCTCCTAAGGCCAAATACACTGGAATTATCTTAGTCTCAAGCTGATCCTTTCTTCTAACATCTCTCCTCTCTGTACAACTGCCTACTACCTTGAGATCATAGCTAGAACTTATCCTTTCCCCTACAGAAATCTTATTCCTGCCTTCATCTCCTCCCATTTAGACTACTACAGGTCTCTCCTGGCAATGGTTCTAATCCTTGCTCTCTAAACGTCAAGGTTTTCAGTATTGCAAGTTTAAACTACCAAGGCTGTAAGTAAAAATACAACTTTGACTAATATTGCTCATTTACCTCCTATTGTAAATAGAGACAAAAATATACCACTGTGTTGTAACTACTGACAAGTGTTGACTTTTTAATGACAGGCATTACTTTTGCTCCAGGAAACATGAACCATTCTTATCTTCTCTTGCTTCATTAGCTTTCTATTCATCCCAGATATTAAAAAGCAAAAATTTTCATCCTAGTTTTCAAAACACTTCCTGGACTTGCATCACTCTAATGTGTTAACTTCATAGTCACCTTCTCATCTGTTTGCTATTTGTGCTCCTCCAGCTGTAATCTCTGTGACAGAGTGTACCAACCCCGCACTGGGCAACCAGAGGTTAACCAGTCACTTCGGGCCCAAGAGGCCATGCCCCTGTGTCTCTGCTGCACATGCCTCAGGTGGAGGGAGCAGATAAAAGGAAGCTGGCCAGCTCAGTCAGGGCTGAGTGAGGAGGAGGACGGACGTGTGTGGCTGGCGCCAGTAAGCTCTCCAGACTCCTAAGGCGGGTATCCTGGACTACACTATGGAGAGCACAACACTGGCTGTGGAGACCAATTTGGACGCTGAACTGTGGCCCGTGGAAGACAGGCCCGCAATGGACTTAAGGGTACAAAGTGACCCAGGGAATGTATTGGAGCCAATACTTGAACCCTAAACAGGGAGGTTACCAGCTTCACAGGGCCCTGGGTCAGAACCCGGTGGAATAGGGTGGGCCCGGGTTCCCCTGCTGGCAGGTGGGCATTATTGCTGGAGATCCCAGCCATAGACCGTTCATTTGTTCTGCCTCGGCCAGGGGGCTGAAGCCCTGTTTGTGATTGTTTGTCCCCAGCAGGAAGCCAAGGGGCTACAGACTGTTCATTTCTTCTGCCCTGCCTAGGGGGCCAAAAGCTCTTTGTGGTTATTAACCCCAGCTAGGAGGCTGAAAAGCTACAGTCTGTTCATTTGCTCTGCCCCACCCAAAGGGCTGTAGTCCCTGACTGTGTTTGTCTGGCCCAGTTGAGAGTTGTGATGACCGTGTGACAGGGTGTATCAACTCTGCACTGGGCAAGCGGAAGCACCCCTCCCTCCGATGGATGTGCAGAGCCCCCGTGATGATCTCATTTCTGACTTCTCCCTGGGGCCATTCACAGTGGATGGAGGAAGTGTTTTTGCACAGTCATCATTACTGACCATTTTTAAAGAACTCTTTCCCATCTTCTGGACCACTCAATCTCTCTTTTAAAAGGTCACATCAAGAACTTCCTCTTAACTGTAGTTTATGAGCATGAGCCAAGAAATGCTGCTTGTGACTAAATGCTATTTAGCTTTCTGTCCTGCTTTATACATCTGTTCTGTAATTTTAAACAGTAACTGGAGTTCATTTTCCTAGTACTAAAGCTGCCTCACTTGCTCTTTATAACTTCTTAAGCTATTTTGCAATGGGAAATAAAGAGGAATGAAATGAATGATCCACGGGAAAAGAACATGCCTGTTTGGAATTTAGGAGCTGTCTCTAAGCCACAACAATTAATGTTTGTCTATAAATAAACCTGCAACCACTGAAATGTAGAAAGAACAGTAAATATGGCAGGCGACCAGCTTGGCTTAACAGTGAAATCCTTGTTGACCTTAAACGCAAAAAAGAAGCTTACAAGAAGTGGAAGATTGGACAAATGACCAGGGAGGAGTATAAAAATATTGCTCAGGCATGCAGGAGTGAAATCAGGAAGGTCAAATCACACTTGGAGTTGCAGCTAGCAAGAGATGTTCAGAGTAACAAGAAGGGTTTCTTCAGGTATGTTAGCAACAAGAAGAAAGTCAAGGAAAGTGTGGGCCCCTTACTGAATGAGGGAGGCAACCTAGTGACAGAGGATGTGGAAAAAGCTAATGTACTCAATCATTTTTTTGCCTCTGTCTTCACGAACAAGGTCAGCTCCCAGACTGCTGCACTGGGAAGCACAGTATGGGGAGAAGGTGACCAGCCCTCTGTGGAGAAAGAAGTGGTTCGGGACTATTTAGAAAAACTGGATGAGCACAAGTCCATGGGGCCGGATGCTATGCATCCGAGGGTGCTAAAGGAGTTGGCAGATGTGATTGCAGAGCCATTATCTTTGAAAACTCATGGCGATCGGGGGAGGTCCCGGATGACTGGAAAAAGGCTAATGTAGTGCCCATCTTTAAAAAAGGGAAGAAGGATGATCCGGGGAACTACAGGCCAGTCAGCCTCACCTCAGTCCCTGGAAAAATCATGGAGCAGGTCCTCAAGGAATCAGTTCTGAAGCACTTAGAGGAGAGGAAAGTGATCAGGAACAGTCAGCAAGGATTCACCAAGGGCAAGTCATGCCTGACTAACCTAATTACCTTCTATGAGGAGATAAGTGGGTCTGTGGATGAGGGGAAAGCAGTGGATGTGTTATTTCTTGACTTTAGCAAAGCTTTTGATACAGTCTCCCACAGTATGCTTGCCAGCAAGTTAAAGAAGTATGGGCTGGATGAATGGACTATAAGGTGGATAGAAAGCTGGCTAGATTGTCGGGCTCAACGGGTAGTGATCAATGGCTCCATGTCTAGTTGGCAGCCAGTTTCAAGTGGAGTGCCCCAGGGGTTGGTCCTGGGGCCGGTTTTGTTCAATATCTTCATTAATGATCTGGAGGATGGCGTGGACTGCACTCTCAGCAAGTTTGCAGATGACACTAAACTGGGAGGAGTGGTAGATATGCTGGAGGGTAGGGACAGGATACAGAGGGACCTAGACAAATTAGAGGATTGGGCCAAAAGAAACCTGATGAGGTTCAACAAGGACAAGTTCTGAGTCCTGCACTTAGGACGGAAGAATCCCATGCACTGTTACAGACTAGGGACCGAATGGCTAGGAAGCAGTTCTGCAGAAAAGGACCTAGGGGTTACAGTGGACGAGAAGCTGGATATGAGTCAAAAGTGTGCCCTTGTTGCCAAGAAGGCTAACGGCATTTTGGGCTGTATAAGGAGGGGCATTGCCAGCAGATCGAGGGCCGTAATCATTCCCCTCTATTCGACATTGGTGAGGCCTCATCTGTAGTACTGTGTCCAGTTTTGGGCCCCACACTACAAGAAGGATGTGGAAAAATTGGAAAGAGTCCAGCGGAGGGCAACAAAAATGATTAGGGGGCTGGAGCACATGAATTATGAGGAGAGGCTGAGGGAACTGGGATTGTTTAGTCTGCAGAAGAGAAGAAAGAGGGGGGATTTGATAGCTGCTTTCAACTACCTGAAAGGGGGTTCCAAAGAGGATGGATCTAGACTGTTCTCAGTGGTACCTGATGACAGAACAAGGAGTAATGGTCTCAAGTTGCAGTTGGGGAGGTTTAGGTTGGATATTAGGAAAAACTTTTTCACTAGGAGGGTGGTGAAGCACTGGAATGGGTTACCTAGGGAGGTGGTGGAATCTCCTTCCTTAGGGGTTTTTAAAGTCAGGCTTGACAAAGCCCTGGCTGGGATGATTTAGTTGGGAATTGGTCCTGCTTTGAGCAGGGGGTTGGACTAGATGACCTCCTGAGGTCCCTTCCAACCCTGATATTCTATGATTCTATGAAATCCAATTCTGAAACATTAAGGGACTGCTAATATTAATGATGTTTGGAAAGATAATTCCTTGTTAGATTTAGCACTAAGGCAACAAAAATGGGTTTGTTGTTGTGTTATTTCCTTCGGACAATTTCAGGTGGTATATTATGTAATTCCTTCTAGGAAATAAGGCTGAGGTAAGCTATAGAAAGAGAAACCCTACACAGGAAAGAACTTTCTAATTAGAAAGTCAAAAAGTGAATATCTGTGAGTCTAAATATGACCAGCTCCTGTAAAGATTTATGCATGTGACAACTTGTCTCTGATATGTGTAAGTGTTTGTAGGATTGGGCCAATAATCACTATCAAGATTATTCTAAATCAAGCATCCTAAATCACTAATCAGATACATTACATGTCTGTTTGTTGGGCTTCAATTTACAGTATATGAACTACCATGTATCTTGTAGTGTATACGGTGAATGTTTACAAATACTTACCCAGCTCCATGAATGACAAGTCCAATAAAGAAGACGACAAAGAGATGGTGTGTGTACCAAAATACTTCAAAATAGGACCTTCGAATGGTTTTAGTGGATGATGTGATGATTAATATAAGGGCCAATGTAATGATGACACCACTGAGACCTGCCAAGTATGTGAAAGCTACGTATAGGCCACCTTCGGGGTTCTGTGAAATAAACACACATAGGGGTTTAAATGAAGACAATTTATCAAAATTGAATTGGGCACCATCAGTCTTTTTCATTTCAGAATCTTTAAGGAGATGGCATTCTGTAAGAAACAGCATGGGAATAGTTAAAGTGTCAGCAGTGATCAGAAGTTGATAGGAAAAAGGGAGGGGGACAGAGGAAGCCATCTGGGATCTTTGAGGATGAGAGTGATGCAATCACAATTATTTGTACTATATTTGAAGTTTTTGGTTAGGGATAAGTCCAAACCCCATCCATGACACTACAGCGGTAGGCTGTCTAGAAGGCTACTAGAGTATACACCTGTTGGGTTACAAGATGATGTTCTGGGACATTGTGGTTACAGCATATTAAAAAACAGTCAAAGTAGTAGCTTTGACTGACAATTGGAAGAAGCCTTTTGAGCATCAGAAGCTTCAATCTGAACCCACTATTCATTCACACCTGGGGTGAAATCCTGGTCCAACTGAAATCAATGGGAATTTTGCCATTGACTTCAGTGGAGTCAGGATTTCACCTCACAGGTGAGATTTTCAAATGCACCTAAGTGATTTAGGAGCACAAGTCCAACTGATTTCCAAAGGACTTGTGCTCCTAAGTCACTCCGGTGTTTATGCACACCCTATGTATGCTACACTGCACTTGTACTGAATCTGAATAAACTAAATGGAAGAGGGAAAGAAAGTATTTTCTACTCATTGGCACATGGAAGTGGGAGTCAGAAATTCTGGGTTCTGTTTCTAGCTCTGCCACTGGCTAGTTGTGTGGGGAAAAAATGTCACTGAAGTCCATTTTCACAGCTGCGTGTCTAAAGTTAGGAGCCTACATCCATATGTAGGTACCAATACGAATGTTCTGCTTTTCAGCGGTGCTGAGCATCTGCAACTATCAATAAAGTGAATAGGAATTGTGGGTGCTCAGCAGATGTGTGTGTGTTTTTTGGGGGGGGGGAGACAAAAAACAGACCTTAATTGTAGGAACTCAAGTTTGAAGATTTTAATCTTCACATCTCTGTGACTTTCTTAGCCCATCTGTAAAATGGGGGTAATGATGATGCTTATCTAGCTACTTTGCATAGGCGCAGTTTAATGAATTAATGTTTCTAAAGGACTGAGACCATTAGGGGACAAATGTGAGCTATTACTGAAGTTCAGCATCACTATTATTAATTATTGCCAAATATAGAGGAATACATTGTTCAGGGTTTGTTCCTGTGATGTGGTTTAAACACAGATTCAGCCTACTAACCATACCAAATAACAAAATGTCCTTGACACAGTTGCCTACGTGAACATTCCCCATAGCACAGGGTCACTTACCGGGATTTTTTTTCGGACAAAATTCAGATAGGTTTCTCCTGACTTATCACCAAGTTCAGAGAGAGCAGCTTGAATAGTTTCTTTTGCTTCAACACGTGCATCAACACACCTCTCTACGTTAAATAAGTGTGCGATGGTGTGTATGGCTGTGAGTGACAGAGAAAACAACACGGCTTGTGTTAGGTAAGTGTTATATCATTTCCTCTATAGGTACCTCAGAAAAAGTTTCTGGCTTTTGAACACTAAGGCCTTGTCCAAACTACAGAATAGAACCTTTGCTCTCTATCACCATATGTCTGGGTGGCAATCATTAGTGGATTTTATCCCCACAACTACCCTTTCAGGAAGGAGAGGGCTATGCCCATTTTATGGATGGGGAAGTGAGGCACAAGACAGACTAAGTGATTTGAGCAACACAAAAAGTCAACTAGGGATGGACGCTCAACACTTTCTGAAATTCAGGCCCCTTTGAGATGTCATTAGTTGGGCACTCAAAATCACTAGTCGCATTTGAAAAATCGGGCTGAGGGGTCTGATCCTGCACTTGTACAAAACTCAGGTGGTCTGAGTTGTGTTCCCAGATCTGACACAGACTTCCTGCTTGACCTTGAGCAAGTCACTTAATCGGTTTGTGCCTCATTTCCCCTTCTGTAAAATGCCAATAATAATACAACAGCCGTACCTCAGGAAGGGACCACAGCAATAGTGAGAAGCTCAATGTATTCTCGTTTCTGAGATGCTCAGATACTGTGATGATCAGCACCATAGAAAAGTCTATGGCAAGTCTACATAACAAGTAGGGGAGAAAGCCCATTTACCCAATCCTTCGTATGCAGCTTCTCTTTCTTCACTCTCCTTATTTACTACAAACATCCCAGTTTGGAAACAAGTCTCAGAAAGCATTAAATGCTGGGTACCAATTTTTCTGAGGGGATGATTGAATACCCTTTATTAAAGAGTAGCCTGCACTGGAATAACAGAGTTACAGAGAGTTGTCTTTTGCCACTTCACTTTCTGTTAGTTTCAGACTAGCATTTGGAAACTGCTTTAACCCATGCCATGTGTCATTCTCTTAGTTTAGTGAAATGAGGTACCTGGTCATAAACTCCAAAGACATGGTTTCCATTTGGATTCTGTGCAAAGTGAAATGATAAAGCAATGATCAAGAAAAACTCTTAAATACCTACCAGTATGAAGGGCGATCATCCAAGCCACCATTTTGTGAAACGTGAGGTTCCTGTCTAACTGTCTCCGGATACGGGTTGAGCAGCACTTTGGGTTAAAAAAAATGAAAAGTCTTTGCAGATTATTTGTGGTGTGAAGGATATAGTATACTTAACTGGGGAAATAACCCAGGTTCATTGAACACAAGACTTGCTGAAATTGATGTAAAGATTAAAAATGACATGAATTAAATGCTATAGTGTGATACTTTACCATATAGTGATGCCAAATAATGCTATAAGACACTTGATTAAATCAAGTTACTTGATCATAGAATATCAGGGTTGGAAGGGACCTCAGGAGGTCATCTAGTCCAACCCCCTGCTCAAAGCAGGACCAATCCCCAGACAGATTTTTACCCCAGTTCCCTAAGTGGCCCCCTCAAGGATTGAACTCACAACCCTGGGTTTAGCAGGCCAATGCTCAAACCACTGAGCTATCCCTCCCCCCCGGGATGGGAGTTCAAGATGGCAGAGAGTGGCTGGATATCTAAATTAAGACTTGCTTTAATATGAGGAACAGAGCCTGTGACAATTCTCTGCCATACCAGAGGTATTATCATTCATTATCATTCATGCTATGGTAGTGCCCAGAGGTTCCAGTTGGAGCAGGATCCCATTGGGCTATGTGTCGTACAAATATATAATGAGGGAAAGTCTGTGCCTCAACGAGTTACCAGCCAAAAGGTGCTAGACACTTTACAGACACATATGAAGATACAATTCCTTCCCCAAAGAGCAGAACTGCTGACCTGCCAGTTAACTTGGCCTGAAGCTAACCATCCTGGCCTGAAGTTAACCTGCCCATCTTGCAACATATCATTGGAACTACACTGACTTCCAAAGACAAACAGAAATAAAAATCTCCTTGACTAATCATTAAATAAAGCTGAAAAACCTGATTCTTAAAAGAAATCGAGCTGACAGATTTGGTAACAGTCGTGACACTGGTTTGCACATTTGAGGACTGATCCAGAGCATGTTGAAATCAGTGGAAGTCTTTGGATCAATACTATACTTATCTGTGTTCTCCTTCTCTTCCTTGTATTCTTAAACATTCATTACATTGTCCTCTCTTTGCCAACCATGAAAAGCAATCATCAGGAAATATGATACAAACGGTCTAAGATTAACATTTAGACATGGAAACAGGACACATCAAATTATTTTTAAGATGTCTGGAGAAAATACAAGCATATTTTTGCAAGAAAGCACAGAAGTCCTGAGTGTTCATGTGTAAAGTACTTTTAGTGTTCTGCGTTTTCAGTTTTTACCAATTTTCACTGATAAATTGCCAGTTTTTTTTATTAAAGGAGTTCAGTTTTTACTGATTTACATCCGTTTATCAATCCACTCAGTATTTTTGGGGTACTTATTTTTGTTAAACACTAAAGCTTTACAAGATTGTTGTGTCCTGCAACTCTGAGATTGAAGCAGTTCCACAGTGTAAAACACAGAACACAAATGGCGGAGGTCTGAAAAATCAAACGTTAATATTGTGCTATGATTTGGCTTACAAGGAGCCGCTGCCCGCCTATTTCTTTGCATCCCTTTAGTGTGGTGCTGAATTGAAACAATCAATCCTCCACAAATAAAGATATGTAATGCCCTCTATCCACCCAGATACCTCCTTCAGTGCCAATCTGCTTATGGGTTTGGATGGATGGGCCTGGATCCCCACAAAGCCAGTCTTGCCCTTTTTGTGACTGGCTCCAGACTACTCCCAATATGGCTTTGACTCCCCCAGGGCTCCCAGAGAAGGGCATCTCACTCCTTATTGGTCAGGCTAGCTCTTCTTCCTGGGCTTTCCCTTGTCAGTCATTTCACCCTGCTCCTTCCTCTGAGCAGACATGCCGGCAATCCTTCCCCAAAACAACAGGACCCCCTGTTGCTATAAATCAAGGGTCCCCAACGCGGTGCCCACGGGCGCCATGGCACCTGCCGGGGCGTCTAAGTGTGCCCACGTACTGGCAGGCAGACGAGCATCCGCCGAATTGCCACCGAATTTCGGCGGCGACGCCTCTGGATAACGCCGCTTGTCGGCAGCATTTCGACGGATACTCGTCCGCCGCCACGGTCCTCCATGGCTCGTCGTCTGGCACCTGCCAGACGGAAAAGGTTGGGGACCACTGCTCTAAATCGTCTCTCACCCTCTTAGTTGCCTAGCAGACTTTGAGTCTGCCTTTGCCTCCCCCTTCCTACCAGGGACAGTTTGCCTCTCCCTGAACTACCAGCACACAGAACCCCTGTAAGCTCCTTGGCGGGTACAGATAGATAAGATAAAAAGGTAAAACATGGGGCAAAAACTCAAATCTATGCCTGAATTACCAACAAGAAAATCAGTGCTTACAATTTTTCAAGAAAAGTAAAGATGGGAGCGAAGAGGATGCATTGTGCTGCGAGTACTGCAGCATTGAGGTCAGTGCACGCGCTGACAGAATAAAGGAGCATGTTGACTGCAAGCAACACAAGAAGCTTAAAGAAGAAAGTGAGCTTCAGGATAAACAGTCAATATCAGGAGCTTTCACCAGGGCTTTAACAAAAGAGAGGACACAGCACGATTGTGTCAATGAATTTGTGCGTGCTCTTTGTTTCACCGGACAACACTGTTAATAGCAGAGGGGCTTATTGGTGACTTTTTGCAACAATAGAATCCAGCAGCAAAAACCCTTCCTAATGAAGACAACCTCGCTCGTAAGTATCGGAAAGAAAATGATGATGCTTTAGTATCTAAACTGATGGAACAATTGATGGAAATGTGGTGTCTAGTCTGATTTTTGACAAGTCTCCCAATGCATTGGACCATCCGATTCTTGGCCTTTTGTTTTCATTTTTTTATTTCAAAGCAAATAAGCCCACATTGTTTTGTGTTGATGTGACATTCATCCCCTCTGCTGATAGCCATTTTGTCGACGCAGCAATAACTGACATATTTGAGATGTACCAACTCATTTGGGAAAATGTGGCCACAACTAACACAGATTCTGCTGCCTACATGGCTAAGTTTGCACAGGAGATTAAACTCAATCAGAAACTGGAGATGCTACTTATTACCTGTCCTGCTCATCTGATTAACGTTGCACTGTCAGTAGCTACTGCTACAGAAGAAATGAAAGACGTGAAATCTTGCCTCATTGGATTCGGGGCCATTTTCAAGCATGCAAACAAGTTGAAGGCTTTGTTTTACACTGTGCGAGACGAGTGCAGAGCCGGGAGCTGATTACTACGCCTGTTGTGCCACATCAGTGGATGAGCTTTTATTTCGCTGCCTGTCATGTAAATAACATGTGCACTGTGCTAATGCGTCTCCTAGATCATCTTGAGTTTTGTTGGTTCTAAAGCAGAAACTCTGAAGAGACTGGCAAATAACTGAAATGACCACCAGATTCTGCACACCAAGTTAATGTTCATGGTTGAAAACTTGGAATCACTGTGTGACACACAGAAAACACTGGAATTTTCTCTGACTACTGCCAACATGTTTGCCAGTACAGACGTTTACTGGATCCTGACAACCAAAATCTCAGCTGAACTGAGCACAAAAGCTGCAGGAGAAACATACGACGAAAAACCCCAGCTGTTTCTAGAAATCCTTCCCACCCCAGAATATGAGAACCAAACAAGTGTTCAAAACCTTCCACACAATGCTCAGCCAGAAATGGGAGATGACCATGGCCCATAATCTGAAGCCCAAAGTGTTTGGTGCTGAAGATTCTTTTTGGAATGTCATCCCGTTGTTGCACCCCTTCCTCAAGGTGACTTTTGCAGCAGACTATGACCATTTTGCCAGACTGTTTCAATCATTTGCCACTAAACATGAAATTTCAAAGCTGAAAGGGGAATTTACTACTTACATGTACTTGCCTAACCCTGACAACGTGAAACTGGATGTGCTGGTTTTTTGGAACAGTCATCAAGATACAGTTCCCAACTTTAGCAAAGTGGCACGGCAAGCTTTGAGTGTACCCACTGGATCAGTTGATGCAGAGAGCTTATTTTCAAAGTTGGACTGCCTCCAAGACAGCAAGAGGCTCAACATGAGTGAGGATACTTTGAAGAAAATTATACGAGCATACGCAAACAAGGATTTCTGGAAAAACTACTAGCTCTGAGAGAGACAAAATAAACCTTTGTACATAAAAACAAAAATTGTAACATACACATTTTGCTACAGTATAATCAAAACGTTTTTTTCTCCCCCCCCCCGATTTTTCACTATACATCCACTATACTAATAAAGGTAGTTTCAGACTAGCATTTGGAAAATGATTTTAACCACAGTTCTCTTGTTTGACTATTTCTAGCTGTTACAGTAACCTACATTAGGGGACGGATCCTCCTCACATAGTAGTGCTACCCTGCTGACTTCACCAGTTACATTGCGATAACTGACGGGAGAGACTGACCTTCCAATACTTTTTTATTTTAACACATAATTGGAAACTTTGTTAAAAAAAATGTCAGTGTAATAGAAAATTGTTGTTCCTGACTGCCTGTCTCTAGACTGTGCAAAGAGGAACTTTGAACTCTTTAACTTCCTATTTTAAAAGACCAATCTGTGAAGCACAGTGATGGCTGTACCACGTTTTCCTCTTTGATGGAATACATGTTGACTCAATAAAAGAAGCAGAATTCCTGCTGCCTGGGATGTACATAGAGAACTCGATTCTTCTTTCAATTATACATTAACACTTATTTTGTGCGTTTAGGGGAAGGCTTCCTGCACAGTGTTATTGAACCATCACCATCTTTTTTTTTTTTTTTTCTTACACTCCTCCATCCCAACCCCCTGTGAAGCTTCGGGTGGCAAGAAGCCCACTGTTTAGGCAGGAATTTTTAAGTCACACAACAGGATATAGTCATGCTTTTTGTAGTGGTCGTTATGCAGCTGACATCTCCTGAATGCAATTAATTTTTAAAAAGGCTGAGAGCACGTAAACTGCGGGATTCCCCAGCCTGCTCCAATTCAGGACTGCACAAAATTTGCATAAGATAAAAAAACCTCCTCCTCCGTGACAGATAAATTTCTTATGAAAAAGTATCTCAAATTAAATAAATTCCAACTGCCCTAGGAGTCCTACTGTATAATCTCCCTTCTGCAGGGCCCTAGCTCCCTCCTCAAGGCATCTAATCCAACCCAGTCACAGGGACAATTCACAAGTCCCACATGCCTCACTGAGACATTAATTTGCAGCTCTGTGCAGGGTCCCAACACTTGTTAACTGGGTGTAGCAGCAAGAAACTCCCACCACCCGGCTACAGACAGCCACAGAGCAGCAGGATTTGCCCCAACCATTGAATAACAACAGAGGACAGACAGTTTTATAGGGACACAAGACAGGATGAGCTGCACATCTCAAGGAGTGAGCAGTTTAGAGCTAGAAGCAGAAGGTCTAATTTACATCTAAATCCGTGTCTTATTGGAATTAATTTCATGACTTCTTTAACACCAGGAGTTGGCATTTAATGTTGATGGGTATTAGCTAATCTGTCACAGTTCAGGGAAAGAACTACCACAGGAAAATAATTTTACATGAGGACAATAATATTTACTGTTCAGTTTTTACATAAGGGGTGGGGATGTAACCAGTCTCCACTCCATTTACACCATTCCAGTGATGGAAGGGGAATAGAGCAAACCAGAGAATCTGGCCCCATGAATTCAAATTCCACCTCTTTCACTGACTGATTTTAATATTTCTATGTGCTTTGCAACATCTATTAAACAGAAGGGCTCCTCTGGGAGAGCTGGAAATAGAACCTAGAGCTCTAACGTGGCAAACCCAAGGCTCAGCCACTTAGCCACACTTTCTTTCAGGTAGAAATATTTGGTTATGGTACCTTTAACCACTTTTCTAGCCACTAGACTACACTCTTCTCTGAGAGCCTGGAACAGTACCCAGGAATCCTGAAGATCAATATTTTACTCTTAGGGGAATTCTGCACCACTGCGCACACTCAGAAACATGTGCCCCCTGCAGATTCTCCTTGCTTCCCTGCAGAAAAATGGTTTGTGTGGGGAAGCAGAGAGAAGCTGCACCAGTGCTCATTCACCCCTCCCCGGCAGCATGGGCACATCTGTTCAGGCACCCAGAGCAGCCAAGGGAGAAGTAAGTCATTGGGGGGGCCGCCACCCAGGGACATTAGTCCCGGCTGGGCTGGAGGGGAGAGGAGGAGGAATATGACGGAAACGGCATTCCCCTCTCCCTTCCCTGCACGAAGCAGCCAGGGCTGGGTCAGATCACCCCCCCCCCCCGAAACCTCCCCCAGCTGCAAGAAGCTATGCACCATGTGGAGGCTGTTAGCAGGGGGGTCTGGGTGCAGGGGGTGAGGGTTCTGGGTGTGGCTCGGCCGGGGGGCGGGGTTGGGTGTCTGTGTGGGGTCCAGATGTAGAGGGATTGAGCAGACAGGGGGAGCAGCTCCTCGTACAGTGACCCGTCCCCCCAATTCCTGGCCCCATTGCTCCTCAGCCATGGGGGGAGGGGTCACTGTACAGGGAGCTGCTCCCTGTCCGCCTGATCCCTGTGCATCTGAACCCCCCTGCTGATCCATATGCCCCCCGCACCCTAATTCCCTCCCCCACAAGCCTCCGAGAACCTCCACCTCACTGAGTTTCATCCCCTGCATCAGGAAACCCCTGCACCAAGACCTCCCTGCACCCAGAACCTCCCCACTGAGCCCCCTGCAGCCAAACCCCCAAACCCCCTGAGCCTCACCCCCTGCATCAGGAGCCACCTATACCCAGAACCCCACCCCACTGAGCTCCAACCAGCTGCACCCTAACCCCCATGCCACCAAGCCCCACTCCCCCAGAACCCAGACTCCCCACTGAGCCCCTCACATCCAGAACCCCATCCCCGCTGAGCCCTAACCACCTTCACCTATACTCCCCTGCAGAGTCCCATTCCCCACTGCACCCAGAACCCCACAATGAACCCCTGTGCATCCAGATCCCCCCTGCACTCCCCCCCACCGAGCTGCCACACCCAGATTGTGCCACACAGAACCCTGGTACTCTTGAGGGAATTCTGCCCCAAAAATACAATATTCTGCACCAAAAAAATTAAATATTTTAAAATTCTGCATATTTTATTTGTCAAAATAACACAGTAACACAATAACAATATAAAGTCACACCATTTTCAATTCTTTTGGTAATTTATTTAAAAATGCTTGTCAGCAAATAAAAATGAAATGGTATGATTATACTGTGTTATTTTGACAAAATATGAAGAATTTTGCAGAATTTTAAAATATTGTGCACAAATTTTTTGGTGCAGAATTCCCTCAGGAGTAATAGTTTACTACTGTCTAGCAATTCACTGGCAAGGTGTGTATCATGTCCTCCTCTAGAGACTATTCCACTTAAAGGATAACCTGCTACCACTCCTACCAGTTACTCCGTGAGCACAAGTGGTAGAAGTCTGTACTGTGGATGTGAAAGTCTTGGGTTCATACCCTGCTGACAACATGTGGAATATAACTAAGATTCTGTGGGTATTTTTTTTTTCATTTCTCTTTTTTTTTTTTAAATCTAGGAAATTTAATAAAAAAAATAAAAGAAAATTCAGGTTGCAAAGTCAAGCAGTCTTAAGGTTGCCTGTGAAACCTTAAGTCACCTCCTGGTGCACATGCTTTATGATACAGTTTTAAATTACGTGATTGCATAGAAACAACAAGGAGTCTGGTGGCACTTTAAAGACTAACAGATTTATTTGGGCATAAGCTTTCATGGGTAAAAAAAACCTCACTTCTTCACATGCATTTTTACCCACAAAAGCTTATGCCCAAATAAATCTGTTAGTCTTTAAGGTGCCACCGGACTCCTTGTTGTTTTTGTTGATACAGACTAACACGGCTACCTCCTGATACTTGACATGATTGCATATAATTTTTCCATATGATCCTAATGAAATCAGTGGAATTTTGGGATATGCAAATAATGCAGCATCAGGCACTATGTAGCTATAAGTCTATATAATGCTGGAATAAAATAGTATCTGAGGTAAGACCAGATAACCTTAGATGCTGTTAAATGATACTTAATCTGATAACCCATAACAACTGTGCTGTTCAGTTTTTGGAAATAGTATAGGAAAAAGATTGTACAATCTTTTTAATTTTCTCAACTCTGAGCTCTTTTCCCCTTTTCTCAGTAAACAAGTGTTACTCGCCATTAGGAAAGAACAAATTATCTGAAAAATGAGAAGTGAAATTCATAGCATATTGCTTATGAAGCAATGGCAGAGACATGGAGGCTGGACGTTTACTCCAATTTTAACTCCTATAAGTTAAAAGAATTTTTTGTATTAAAGTTAGATTTTTAGCCTGGAAGACCCAGTCTTGTAGTTTCTAGATTTGCCCATAAACTGATGGAACTAACAGCAATAGCCTGAGCCAAGCATAATGTAGCAGATGCTGAGGAAGTATTTTCCCACATAGCTCTGCCAAGTCAACTGAAGAATGACCAGCAAGCAACA